GGGGGAGGGTCATGCAGTAGTTGGAGCTTGGGCAGTGCGATGATAGGAAGGAGACGCAGTGCACTGCAGTGCAGTGACTGGAGGCTAGGCAATGTGGTACAGTTGGGGATGCAGCCAATAGGAGGGAGATGCAGTGACGGGGAGGTGTGGCACAGTGTAGTCACCACAGTATGGTGCAGAGGTTGGAAGGAGGCAAAGGGAGGTGCACTTACTGGAGCCAGGCAGTGTGGCACAGTGTTTATAGGTGTCACAGCTGCAGGTAGTTGCAGTGGTGTGCAGTGCAGAGCTGTGGCAAGAGGGATGGTGGAGTGCAGTGCTTGACAGGAGGTACAGTGACTGGAGGTGCTGTGGGTACTGTGATTATTGGAAAGAACAGTGCTGTGCAGTGACTGGAAGTGGTGTAATGCAGGGCAGTGATTTGGGGAGGTTGCATGGACTGTCACGCAATGATTGGCGGTGGCGTGGAGCAGTGCCAGGCAGTGATTGGAGGGGGGGGGAAGCTTAGTGATTGGAAGGCTGGTGCAGTGGCTGGGGGGGAGTAATGTGGTGCTGTGATTGGATGCAAGGCAGTGCTGTGCAGTGATTGGAGGTATGATGCAGTGATTAGGGGCACAGTGCGATGCAGTGATTGGAGGTGCTGGAAGGCAGTGTACGACTAGGGGTGCAATGCAGTGACTGGAGGTGGGACCATGTGGTACAGTGATTAGAGGGTCAGTGCCAAGCACTTTTTGGAGGAGTGCCATGCTGTAATTGGAGGGTGGGCAGTGGCATGCAGTGATTGGAGGGGATCAGTGTAGTGCAGTGATTAAGGGTGTGGGGTGCAGTAATTGCAGAGGTGTAGTGTGGTGCAGCGATTGGAGGGAGTATGGTGCTATGACTGGAGGGGGGACTGCAGTGATTGGGGATGCAGTGTAGTGATTGGAGAGGGGCAGTGCTGTGCAACGATTGAGGGGATGTGGTGCAATGATTGGAGGGAGCCATTGCAGTTCACTGAAGGGGTGCAGTGGACTGATTGAAGGAGGCCAGTGTGATGCAGTGATTGAGGGAGGTGCAGTGTGCAGTGATTGGCAGTGCAGTGCGGTCCAGGTGCAATGACTGCAGGGAGTGAAGGTGCAGTGCTTGGAGGTGCAGTGCTGTGCAGAAACAGTGCTTGGAGGGAGCAGTGCAGTGTAGTGCTTGGAGGGATAGTGCAGTGCAGGTTCATTGCTTGCAGGGGCAGTGCAGTGCAGGTGAGGTGATTGAAGTGCAGTGCCGTGCAACTGCAGTGCTTCGAGAGGCAGTGTGGTGCAGTGTGGTGCAGTGTAGTGATTGGAGGGGCAGTGCGGTGCAGGTGCAGTGATTGGCGAGGGCAGTGTGGTGCAGTGCTTGGAGGGGCAGTGCGGT